TTTTTTTTTTTTTTTTTTTGCATTGTTGCTGGTTGCGGCATCTTGCATCTGCAAGACAATCCTCGCTTCTTGCCCCATGTCCCTTCCCAACCACAGGCTGCGGTCGAATTGGAGTAGCTCAACAACACGGCCCACGCTGTCTTGCCTACGGAGGTGTGGTCCACATGGACTACGAATCTCAGCATGCCACAGCTCCAACTTTATGCCCCTGCAAAGGGCAAGGGAGAGTACTACGTGCTGGGACTTGTAGTGCTGGGACCTGCCAATTCTCTAGTTTCTATCGCTCCATTTTATGCAGTGAAGAACAACCTCCATATGGAGGAGAAAGGAAAATCTGGGTGTCCCTGATCTAGGATAACGTGTTACAAAACCAGCCCCCCGCCCCCCCAAGAACGGCTCCTCGTCCCAGCTTTCGGAGACAGGGTAGGCAAGCACCTGTTGAGATTGGTCAACGTACACCCAACCCTGCCTCAGAGCCGGGGGCTGGACAAGGTCCCTTCCAGCCATACACTGCTACAATTTAATTAGCCTCTGAAAAGTGGACCTAGATTTCAAAACACCCAACATTAGAGGGTGACTGCGTCTGGGTTTGGTGCATTTGCAATCGTTAGGGAAGGAACTGCCTTTGCAATCTGAATGCCAAAGTGTTAGGGGCTTGCACTGGGGGTACTGGGGCTGGGGGGAATTTGGCTTGGTTTCTGATTAGATCCTAGATGAGCGGCTCCCCGCTTCTCTTGCAAATCCTCCAGCCTGGAGGGTCTCTGAGGTGGAGACCTCTTCACGACATCGGTGTGGACAAAGTTGCCATGCGTTGCCTATTGCATGGGGCCGGCCTCATCTGACCTTCTCTTGTAGGCAGGAACCGGACAAAGGCACCTCTGGGGTCCCCCACTCCTGTTTCACAAGGGTCCCTGGCAGAAAGGTAGATCGAGAAGAAAGTTCAGAGATCTCTGATGTCTGGCAAGGCCTCTGCAGCCTCCTCGCCCTGAGAAAGACCCAGCTTCCAGCAGTGCCAGACACCATCACCGGGGATATCCTGCCCGACAGCTTGGAGACCTCAAGAGCTACAACCAAGGCCAGCCGCCGGTTTCTTGGCACGGTCTGCGAGCCCATTTCCCCAGGGTGGTTCATGCCCTACCCCTGGCTGGCTGACAGCTTCTGGATACAGAATGAAATACGAGTCCCCGTTCCCCATCAACTACCTTCGCTGCTTCCAGAGCAGGTGAGGTGCTTCCACGACTAGTTTCATCACTCTTTGGGGCCACATAGCAGGGTCCTCGATACAGGATCAAGGCTGCAAAGGATTAAGATCGGAGCTCCCCCCCAGCACCGATGACACTGCTCCAGTCGGTACCAACCTTGGCATGGGAACCGGTCGGCATCTTTCCTCTAGAGGGAGAGGATAAATAGAGGCAAAGCTGGCCAGGCTACTCTCAAAAGAGCCCTTTCTTTTGGAAATCCCTGCCACAAGATTAACTATTGCAAAAAAAAAGCAGGATCGGCAAAAATGGGGGCCCATGATGGAAGGAAATAACAGACTGGGGACAGCGATCTCTGTTCAGGGTGGACGGGGGCGTCACAGAGCAGGGTTTTGGCCACGTGGTTCTTGCTTAAAGCTAGTCAGGAGGGACATGCGATGGATTGGGAGGTGTGACGTTGGCTCCCCTCTAATGCACAGTCCACCTCTCTGTCCCTGCCAGGCAGTTCGGCCCAGAGGGAGATACCAGATGAAAGACGAGCGCCCTTCCCTGAGGACGGGCCCAGGATGTTTGTGCAAGCTGAGTCGCTGCAAGGCAAAGGCCCTGGGGTTGGGTGTTTGAAGAGATGGTTTATTGCCTTGACAGGAAGGGGATTTGGCTTCCTCGCTGGGTGAAGAGGGCATGAGGCCGGGCAGGCGTCTCTGTGAGAGCCAGCATCTGCTCCGTCAGCTCCCCGCCGCCCACGAAAAGGGACGGTCTCTGTGCTCTGCGGTTGCAGCGGTGCCTGCTGGTCTGGTTTCCAGGGGGCACATGCCCCACGTTTGGTTTTCCTCCTTGAAATGAAAATGAAGACGGGTAAAACAAACAGCAATGCCAGGCCTTGCTTCCCACAAGCAGGCGGGAGTCACCAGAGACGCTCTCAACCTTAAAAACCATGACGGGACGGTCCCCAGGAATCCACCCGGCCTCCGTTTGCGCAGCCACGTGTGCAACCAAGAATCGCCAGCTCAAGGCCCGGCCTCAAATTAGCCGTTTCCATTTCATGGGAGAGGAGAGAGATGCTCAATTGGATGGACGGTCGCAGCCAAGAGCCTGCAGGCCGGGTCCCGGAGCTTCCCAGCTCCCATGAAAACAAAGAAATGGAGTTCAAAGAAAGAAACATTCCCAGAACGAAGATCCTTGGCAGCAGGCTGCCGCAGGGTTTTGAGCCTTGTTCCCTCAGCCAAGTCGGGAGTAGCCCTGTCCAGGAAACCCGTTTTGTAGCACCTTCCCGCCCATGCGACACTCTCCGTCCATCCCCGGCGAGGGAGCGCGACGCTGCCAGTCACGAAGGCCCGTGAAAGTCTTGCGCGCTGGTCGGCTTCTCCATGGCGCCGGGTCTGGGGACGAACGGCGGACGGACAGTTTGGTCTCACGGCGTTGGAGGAGGAGGCACATTGTCTCCCCCTGCAAGGCTAGCAGCCTCCTTCCACCTTGACGTGCAAGATCTTGGAGAAGCCAGGTCTTTTCCTCAGGGCCTGGAAGAGAATGGGAGCTCAGTGCACAGCAGGCGGGGAGCAAACAACCGGGCAGAGGATCTGCTGAGCGTGGCTCTGCCCCTATAGCTTGCACAGCTCTGCAGAGGAGGAAGCAGAGGGCTGCTATTCCCATGTCAAATGGGAGGTCATCCATCAAGTCTCCTGGCCAGGAAGAGAAGCCCGACTCCTTAAATGGGCCCCGTCCCGCTGAGCCCCACTCCACCCTCCATGACCTGCCACCCATTTCCGAGTCCCCTCCTCGCGCCCTTTCAGAAGGAAATTTACTCTCAACGGGAAGAACGTGCATTTAGCCTCTATTTCCCCTCGGCATCTTGAGGGCATCTCAGCTTATACCTGCCCTTCCTGTTGCAATTGCGCCCAAGGCCTTGGGTATCAATAACAGCAGAGGAGCCAGGATCTCCTTTCAGGGATAACTATGCGACTGCATCTCTGCTGACCTCCCCTGTGTGATGTTCGACTCGCTCCTTTGCTTGCTAGTATTCCTCTGTATGCTCGAAAGCAACCTCTGGGGCTGATTAGGGACAGGATGAAAACAGAGTCCCTAGGGAGAGTGCATAGGCAAAGAGAAACCCCCCCCCAGAGATCAATTTTCCAGTGCTGGGAATAAATTGATTTACACAGCGGAACTTGACCGGGGAGTTAGGAGAGTCCCCGATGGTCCTAGAAAAAAACCTGCACTTCCGTAAAAGTCATCCGAGGGAAAATGCAATCGAATGCCGGCGGCTTTGGAGATGAGGGACTCTCGGGCCATGGGCTGCATCTGAATCATCTTCCCCAAGAGTAGCTGGAGCAGTGAGGGTTACAGAGAAAGGAACTCCTGCCTGCCCTTCTTGCTAGCATTTCCATCTTGGGGGCAGCAAAACCAAAAGCTGATCACTTTGCTGTGTCTCAGATGGCACGAAGGAGGCAGAAAAGGCTCCCTGAAAATGTCACCATGCAGTGAGCTCCATGCTGGCTCTGCCCCTGTTCAGCTGGGGGTGTGACTAGTAAGCTGGGCCTAAAAGCAGAGCATGATTTAGGGTGACTTTGGGGTGCTGGCCAAGAATATGAAGTGCTCAACGTGGGCTGAAAGTGTTGGCACTGGATTTGTAACCCAGATAGCTTGTTCTGGGCAGACCCAAACCCTCAGACGGACCATTATTCTTACCTGTTATCACTGTGTATCAATAAAATGTGCCTATTATTGAATGGGCAGGTTGCAGTGGGTCTAAGGGTTTGGGTCTGCCCAGAACAAGGTATCTGGGTCACAAATCCAGTGCCAACAAAAGCTGCTTTAACTTCTCTCTTTTTGTCCTTGTGCAGGAGCTGAGCACTGAGCAGCATTTGCACCGTTTGCTTCCTTGCTGCAACTCCTGTCGCTTGGCCAATTACATTAAGTACATCCGTTTCATTTCCTGTTTTATTTCCAGTTTGATTTTATTTGGTTCAGATGCACGACCAAACTCTTGCTTCCCTGCATTCAAGATAATGGAAAAACCCGGATAATATTTCTGCTCGGGTTGGGTTTTGTAAAGCAGTCCCTGTCCCAGGCCTTTACAAATGCAAATCAAAGCAAATGCTGGGCCTTTGTTCAATGGACTGAACTTGCTGAAGTGTTTGAGAGGGCTGCCCCAAGCAAAACCAGAACATAAGAGCTGCCACATCTTGGGTCAGATCATAGGTCCGTCTTGCCTAATATTCTATGTCACATAGTGGCAGAGGGCGAATGCTGAAGGGGAGAGTGGACTGGGTTTTTACACCATTCCTCTCTCACTTGCACAGCACCTAAGGCAGGGCTGCACCATGGGTTAATAAAGTGGCATCACACTACTTTCAGTTTTGTTCACAAGTCCCTTCTTAGTAATCCCTATCATTTTGGTTTTGTCTTCTGGATGGCTGCTAGGTACCGAGTTGATGTTTTTAGCGAATGGTCCACAACGATGCCCAGACCTCTTTCCTGTGTGGAAATAGTGTATGCAGAACCCAACCAATTCTGCAAAGTGTGAAAAAGTAGGCGCTGGGCCTCAAAAGAACAAATGAGATTGAGTGAAAAATTGTAAGATTAAGTAAAAAAAAACCCCCAAAAACAAAACCAGGGGTTGTTTTTCTTGGACTTGTGATTTCTGAGCCATTGGGGCATACTCAGGTCCTAATTCTTTCTTTTCTGCAGCCACGAGGGCTAGAAATGCACTTTAAGGAAAACAAACAGAAAAACCCCAATTGAGATTCATACGCTCCCTGGCTTCCAGGAGCTGGGGCTTTAAGTGAGACACAAGCTCTCATGAGGCATGCGACTGTTGGTAATCCTGCATAACTGAAGCTAAGCAATAAGGAATAGGATAAATAGGCTGCAAATTTTCTGCAATAAGGAATAGGACAAATATTCGGCAAATATTCTGCAATAGGAAATAGGACAAATATTCTGCACCAAGGAATAGGACAAATATTGTATCCCTTCAAGTGAGGCTCTCCAGGTGTTTTAGGACATTCATGAACTAAAGCTGCCCCTGGATGCGGCTGGGAGAGAGCTACATCCCTTGCCAGGAATGGGAAACTGAGGCCCGGAAAGGAGATACTGCTTCTGCTGAGGGGTTGGTCTAGACTGGGATCCCCACTCCCACCCACCCCATTTCTATTCAGGTTTGGAGGCCACCTCCTCTGCTGTGCCTCTGAGAAGCTCATTCATTTCCTCCGGGGACCCAACGTCCCCAGCCCTGTGACTCACCCTAGAGCTCCACAAGGACCCAAGGGACCTGCACCTGGCTCCCTTTACCTGGAGCTTGTTCACCATCTCCTCAAACATCTTCCTGGCTTCAGGGCTGTTTGGCTCCTTGAAGTAATCCATGATGCCCACCTGCACCACGATGGACTTCAGGTTCCGGCAGACACCTTGGGCGACACAGAAACAGCTTGGGAACAGCCACCGGGCATGGGGGTAGTTGCTGGATTTGGGGTTGGGTAATCAAAAGGGCACAAACCCTATTCAAAATCAGTGGCATGCGGGCTCTGAGCTAATCCAGGTGCCTTTCAACCTCTCCTGCCTCAGGGTGACCTACCTGTCCTCCCTCTGGGCATTCATCTGGAGCACTGGGCATGAAGAATTGTCTCCCGCTGTCCCATCCTGTTTCCAGTGCCTGTGGCATTAGTGCTCCTGTTCCTTCCCCTAGCAGACCGTGAGGAAAGGTTTCTGGAGAGCCCATGCACAATTTCACGCCACCTCCAATGTACCCCCAATCTACTGAGCTGGCAGAGGCTGCAAACTTAGAAATCCTATTTGCTTAACACAGCCAGGGACTCCCAGCAGGGAATATTTCTGGGCCTCAATGCCTCTAGCAAATGGCCTAGGGAAGGAACTCCTGACTTGAGTTATATCAACACAAATCGGGGATAACTCCATTGACATCAAAAGAAGAACTCCAGACTCCTAATGGTGTAACTGGAGGCTGGATCCAGTCATCAGCTAGAAGAGCCCAAGGCTGAGATGTCATTGGGATGAACTGGGATGTCATTGGGATGCATCGGGATGTCAAGACATCCCAGTGGGATGCACCAGGATGTCAAGACATCCCAATGGGATGCATCAGGATGTCAAGACATCCCAGTGGGATGCACCGGGATGTCAAGACATCCCAATGGGATGCATCAGGATGTCAAGACATCCCAGTGGGATGCATCGGGATGTCAAGGCATCCCCCTCTCTAGCTGTAGTATGCGGGAGCACAGTTCTGGCGGAAGGGGCTGTGTCAGTGAGGTGCAAGGAGCTTCCGGTCACTTCCGCGGCTCCCTGCAACTACTACTCACTGTTGAAGTGCAGCAGAGCTTTGGGGGTGACCGGCGTGGAGGTCAGCACCAGCATCTCCAGGCCTTTCAGGCCCTCCCGACACACCTCGGCCGCCACCTCTTGGTTAATTTCCGTCACGTGGTCGAGCTCCAGCACCTGCAGCCGCATGCAGTTCCGGGCTTGCGAGATGGAAAACACACACAGGGTCAAGTCAGCCAGGGCCCCCAGGACCCACAACTAGTGCTGGGCAAGTCTTTACCAGCCTTGGGAGGTGCAGTGGGCCTTAAGCTACATGCTTTGTTTAGGAAGTGGAGACGAATGATGGAAAATGAAGCCGTGCAATAGGAAATGGAAGGAGAGGGGCCTACCCCCTGGCCAACAGGGAGGAAGAGGAGGTCAAGAATGCATAATGACCTCCCCACTGGGATCTGCATGACAAAGGTGTGGGAGAGCCCCTGAGCTAGCTGGAGATTTTGCCTGCTTGAGAGAGAATCCAAAACACCCCACAAAGCTGACCCAGCTGCATCCCCTCTGCAGCGACACCCGATGGGAGCGCTCCGATGAGAAAGTCCACCCGCATTTACCTAAAGATGCCAGGCCTTGAACGCCGCAGCCAGCGCCCCCCACACCCAGCGCGCGCAGGTGCGGCCAGCATCGCCCGATCATCTGAAGGCAGCGGTTGCTGAAACGGGTTGGCTGCTGGCTGGAGAGGAAGAACAAGAAAACAGCAGGGGGAGAAATTATTCCAGTTACTGTCAAGTCACAGCAGCCTGAGGACGAGAGCTCTAAAAAACAGAGGTTACAACCACCTGTGCTAAAGAAAAGCTGCCGTTAACAGCTGGGAGCATCTGGGCTTGTAGCATTTGTATGTCTCCAAGGACTAGGAAGGAGCGCAGCAAGTTTTGTACACCCCCACATCCATTTTTCCGACACACATGCATGCAGTCGTGTGCACACACGCATGCAAGCCACAACACCCCCCACATCCAGACATTTTTCCTGAAGAAAGGACGAGCGCATTAAGCGTTCAACACTACAAGTCCATCTGCCCTCCAAAACCTTGCCCTGGTGGTGTTGTACTTCAGCCACTAATAAGGCACAGTTGGATGCGACAGGGTATTGCTGAAAGTCAACCAGGGTCACCGGAAGAGAGGAGCCTTGGCTGTGTGGGAGGTGAGTACCCTGACCTGATTTTTGGGCTCATCCCACGTGTGCTGTTATCTAAGTCATGCATCTATTAGCACCTTGGGATTTTTTTCCCCCCCGCCAAGACACTTTGGGGAACCTCCCAAAGCTTCACGCCCGAAGAGCACATGCCTGGGAAGTGAGAGAAATTGCAGTTGTGTCTGAAACAGCAAAACTGAGCATCCTCGCAAACAAAAGCACACCAGGTTGTCGGGGCTGCTGTTATATAAGCAGGGAAGGGCTCTGGCAGCTGTTTGATATGCAGGTTTGCTTACCGGCACAATCAAACTCCTCTTTCATCCCTGAGGGATCAGCATCCTTTGCAGCATTCTCCCTGACACATCCTGAAAGGTTTTTGAGTCTCTGCTACTAGAGACGAGACTGGATTTCTCCATCTTCTAGATTTAGGTCTCTGGGCTTAGTTTAGACCTGTGGTGCTTAAGCTTTTGGCCCTGCGGGCTGGATCGGACTCTGCGTGCCCAGGTTCGGCCCCATGTAGCCTCGGCAGCTCCCACATGCAGCAATTGGGACCCGGGGCTCAGCACCACTTCCCTGGGTGCCAGGATCGGCCCTTGCCCAGTCCCATGTGCTGGGATCAGACTCTGGGGCCCTGTGCTGCTTCCACCCAGCCCCGTATGCCAGGATTGATGCCCAGGGGTCCCATGCCAACTCCACCCAGCCCTGTGTGCTGGGATCGGGGACCTGTGCTGTCTCCATCTGGCTCTACGTGCCAGGATGGGACCCCTGCGTTGCCCCTGCCTGGTCCTGTATGCTGAGATGGGGTTTTGCAGCCCTCTCCTGATCCCAGCATACCACGACTGGGACCCTAAGCTGCCTCTGCCCAGCCTCGTGTCCTCACAAAGCCCCGCCGGGCAGATGAAATGGCATTGGGGCAGCACCGGATTATGACATGCAGAGGCCCTAAACTCAGTCCAGCTTAAGAGGTCCCATATGATAAAAAGAATCCACGAAATCCACCAAAATGGATTTTCATGAAATTTTAAGATGAATTATTGTTATTTCTGCACAAATTTATGAACTCCACAGGAATAATAACTGCACAGCCATATATATGTATCTTTTTGACATATTAGAACAAAAATGTCAGGGTTTTTTTTTCTTATTTAGAGGCCCCTCATATTGTGAGGCCATACGCTGTAGCGTAAGCCTAAATCTGGCACTGCATTGGGGGCTGGATGGATCTGGCCTGTGAGGCAGAGTTTGAGTACCCTAACCCTAACCTGAACCCTAAAACAGAGCACCCCTGTTTTAGACCATTAGACAGGCAGGAACCAGCTATTTGGTTCAGATCTGGAGCCCAATTTCTACAGAGTCCAGGGTGCTTGGGTCCAGTTGGGGTTTCAGACTCATCTCTAGACTGGCCCTTCAGTGGACACCGATGTCTACACGGCTTCTGTGGCGCTCTCCTATCAGGACACGTCTGAGTCTGCTCCCAGTCCTATGCGGAGCTTCACTGCCATGTTACTGGGCTTGGCTCATGTGAGCACAAGCCCGTGGCTGAGGTTCGTGCAGGAGTTTCCTCCCTAGGAGACCCAGGGAGGCGGTGCAGACATGCCCACGCAACCCAGCGTTGCTCTTACCAAGGGTGTAGTGGTGCCACCTGTAAAGAGATGATGTCCCTGCAGCCAGCTCCCAGCGCCCAGATGACTTCGTGACCCACAGGGTCTGTCGAACTCCTGGAAAGATACACAGAGCCTTGTGTTATGATTCATCAGCTGCGATGCATGCCTCAAAAGCTTGTAGGGGCATTTCCAAAGCATCTAAGCATGGAGGCTACCAGAGCATTAATATTCCATGTCCTCCTGCCAAAAAAACCCCTATTCTCTTCTTCATGCTGTTTGAAGGTGCAAACGCCTACACTAATGAGAGGAGAAACCGCCACCCCCACATGCACACACTCCAGGATGGGCAAAGTCATATCCACCTTAAGCCCACACATACGTGACACCAACAGAGAGGTAGGAAAATTAATTCACTTCTAGCTTGAGTGCTTCGGAGACAGTGATCCCGCATCCAGCCAGGAAACAGTGACGGCTTAGACAGCTGCTACGTGACCTTCTCCTCTAGGCCCTGAAAATGTATTTCAGTCCCAACTACTCCCGAGAGCGAGAGAACTTGTCGGGAGGAGATTTTCCAGGGCACGCAGGGCAAGTGGGCACCCAGCTCTCGGGGGACACCATTAGGACTTGGGCCCTTGGAAAACCTTCCCTGAACTCATTCCTCTCCATCCATGCAATCCCGAACCCTCTGAGTCTGTCAACCAGGACGGTAACGCATGCCCAGCTTGCTCTGCATTGCACCCAAAGCGCCCGTCTCTGAACCGAACGACTCAGTGCTGCACAGAAATGGCTCGCTCCAACTCAAACCAGTCATCCCCACTGGTGCGACTGGTCCCCCAGGACCACCCTGTCCCACAGAGCATGGCGCGATTCTGAAGATTAAGCCCATGCTGCTAATTTTGAACGACCCAGTTTTTAACTTCAAGTGAACCTAAAAATAAGTCAATTGTGTTATCTTGAACGCTCGTACATCTCCAATGAAGTCGCCTGCCAAGATTCCCTTACGAGTCTGGCTCACACTTAATTAAAATAAGTGAGTCATGTTGACAGGTTATCAAGCTGCCAATGGCCTCTGGTGAACATGAATATTCGGGGCTGCTGAACCATGAAAAGAAAGAAAGGGTGAAACAGCAGATATATTAAGCTACAAGTTGTGCTCTCAGAACCCACCTTCTTTTTTGGGGTTCCCGGGTTCGGAGTCAAGGTCTCACTCTTTTGGAGAACGGGAGCAGTGGGGCTGGAAGGGGATATCGAAAGATTTCTCCTTGTGGTAGTATTCCCCGTTATCCAAAAGAGTCGGACATTACCACAGCTGGGCAAAAAACTCAGTTTTTAGCTTGCTGGCAATTCTGGGGGAGAGGGAGTATCTGGGAAAAAGAATGTTTGGGGTATTTTTAATTTAATAGAACGAAGGGTGGTTTTGAAACAGCCCAAACTGCTTGTGTGAACTACGCTGGCTTTTCTGAAATGGTTTTTCACACAGCTGGCCCAATAGAGATGAATTTGCAAAATGTTCTGGTGCTGCCGAGTCGGCATGTCTCACCAGAAAGAAAGCTTTGGCTGAAAAAGTTTCCTCCACTCATGATGGTAAAATGCTGTGTCAGTCGTGGTTTAATGCTACCTGGGTGTCATTGCGGTGTCGAGCGCAGAAGAGCACCAACCTCTAAGTGCTGCCAGAGTGCATAGAAATAATCAGCATCCTAGGAGGGCAACAGGGCACCAGGACCGGATAGCTCAGGGATCGGTAAGGTGTGACCAAAAAACTGTCCTCTCAAGGCTACAGAGAAGCAGCAGGGGCTGGTAGATGAAACCCAAAATGATCTCAGCTCTGGTCCTGAGTCTGACTCACAAGCACACGTGGCCGGGAGGATTGCTCAGTAGCACAACCGAGGGCATTGCCACCAGGAGCAAGGTGGTCCCTGGCCTTTGACTCTTGATCCAAAGAGATGCACTCAGTTGCTCTAGGCAAGGAGAGAGAAAAAGATGACAGCCCCCCCTCGGTGACTTTGCTCCGATGACCCTGGCATTGGAAACCCAGGCTCCTTCTTGCTGCTGCGTCAGTATTCAAAGTTGTGCCTGAACAGCTGGACCTCGGACACAAAATTGTCATGCAGACCGGGCAGATGAAGGAAGAGAGACCTGCCGGGCACATGCCAAAGCTGCAGGGAGCCCAGCACGGTCGACTCGGGTTGGGTGCTGCGTGCCGCTCGTTGCCTTCCTGCCACTGAACTGGACAGTGGAGAAAGAAGCTGCGTTTGCTCTCTCCCCCTTGCAAGCATCTCGCTTAACAGATGACAGCTTGCACGGAGCACAGACTTCCACCAGCAGATCTTTTGCCATCTGAGAGACCACCCAACAAGGACGATTTTTCCCTTCAAAGGAATCTGTACAAACCCAGAGGGAGAGGAAGATGGGCGGTCGAGTGGTCTGGGTGCTAGTCCCGCTCCGCAGAGGCTCCCTGCATCGCCTTGGGCAAGTCGCTTAATGTTGTTCTATATCACGGCTCTCCCCTGCCCCCTTGGGCGGTTGGGGAACTAAATATATTAAGGACCATGAGAACCTGTGGGCTGCTTTTGTAAAGAAAGTGAGATATTTTCATGCAAATCTTAAAAGCTCGACATCGGTTGTTCATTTGAGGGGCTGGACCCGATGATCTTGTAAGGGCCCTTCCAGACCCTAACATCTATGAAACTATGAAACCTTTGGTATTACAGCTCTGTCTGCAAGTCATGGATGCTCTTGCACGTCTCGCTAAGCTCTGATACAGCAACTTCTGTGAATGATGCTTCGTAGCATCGCCCAGGAACCTCCGACTTAACCGGGCAAATGATGCCCTAGCCTCAGTTATTCATGCCTGTGTCACCTCTTGGCTGGATCAAGGCAAGGCGCTATGCATGAGCACACCATGCCCACCCTGTGCTCCCACAGTGGCTTTCACGCTCAAGGCTTCATCACTGTATTCAAAAGGGCCTAAAGCTCCAGGGTGAAGGCCACGGCAAACACTTCTACTCCTCTGGTCCCATCTCTCAGGATGAAGCTTGTGTGTGGGAGACAAAACCCCGCAGAGGCTACACCCAAACTGCGACTGACCCCCTCCAGTAGCCACCCTCGCCACCCTCTGCTCCAGGGGCAAGGCAGGTGTCTGCCATCTTGGCTTTTCCGATGCAAATATACAGTGACAAAACCCCCAAATAACCAGGGCTCTCTGCAGCACGCTTCTGCCCTTGGGGGGAGGAAGAGAGAGCAAACAGTGCTTGCCAGATGTTAGTCACGTCTTTGAATATGCTCCTGGAAAGCGCTCAGACAATACGGCGAGGAGGCACTGTGGAATAATGAAGAGTCCTGGAAAGGACCATGGCAGGGGAGAAACAGGCTTGCGGAAATGGAAATAGGCTGCTGCCAACTTGGCCTGAGGCTGCGGGTTTTATAGTGACCCATTCACACCCCTCGCTGCACAGGCTGCGCTGCCTCTGTGCACGCTAGCTCCCAAACCGGAAGCAGCAGAGCCACACGCACGGGAGGGTGAATTAGCACAGGGAACAGGCAGTGCCCATTAGCCCACAGTGCTGCGTCGAGGTGGCCCGTGGCTGAGGACAGAGTTGGAGCCGCGTGGTACACATCAGCCCAGTACTGGCAGCAGGGCAAGGGCGACGACGAGATGTGCTGTGAACATTTAAGGACGTTAAGACTTGCCATTTACTGGGCACAGCTACACGAGATGCTTGCTGTGCAGCAGACTCATTAGCTGTGCAGCAAATAGATTTCATAGACATTAGGGCTGGAAGGGACCTCGCGAGAGCATCGGGTCCAGCCCCCCGCCCAAGGGGCAGGTAGTCAGCTGGTGTCAATTGATCCCAGCAAGAGGAGCATCCAAACACCTTCTGAATGAGTCCAGAGTAGGTGCTTGCACCACCTCCGGGGCGAGTCTGGTCCAGATCCCGAACACTCGGACTGTAAAGAAGTTTTTCCTTATATCGAGTCTACATTGGCCTTGCAGAAGTTTGTTAGACCTTGTTATCCCTTGGGGAGCACTGGTGAACACCAGTTCTCCCAGATCCTGATGCCACCCCCCTTATGTACTTACAGGCAGCCACCATGTCCCCCCTGAGCCTTCTCTTCTCCAGGCTGAAGAGCCCCATGTCCTTCAGCCTCTTCTTATATGTCTTGCTCTCTTGGCCTTTGATCATGCGCCTGGCTCTCCTCTGGACTCTCTCTAGCTTATCCACATCCCTCCTGAAGTGGGGGGCCCAATACTGGACACAGTACTCCAGCTGCGGCCTCACGAAGGCCAAGTAAAGCAGGAGGATGACATCCCTGGTTTTGCTCGAGATGCATCAGTGGACGCATGCCAGCATTTGGTTCACTTTGCCAGCTACAGCATCACACTGGGGGCTCATGTTCATCCTGTGGTCAATCAAGACCCCCAAGCCTCTCTCAGTCATGGTGCGAGTGAGCGTAGCACTGCCGAGCCTGCAAGTATATGATGCTGGTTCTTCCTCCCAAGGTGGAGTACCCAGCACTTCTCTGCATTAAATGCCATCAGGTTTGGGTCTGCCCACCTTGCGAATGTGTCCAGGTTGGCCTGTATCCCCAACCTGTCTTCCAGCGTGGCCGCCTTCCCCATAGTTCAGTGTCATCTGCGAACATTGCCAGTTTGCATCTGATGCCCGAATCCAGATCATTAATGAAGATGTTGAAGAGTACTGGCCTGAGCACTGAGCTGGAGACAGTATTCAAGGTGCAGATGCACCACAGATTTATAACGGGGGGTCACGATACTTTCAGCTTTTAGAATTCCCTTAATAATCCCATAATAATAATAATAATAACAATAATAACAATCCCATAATAATAATAATAATAGTAAAAATAATTCCATAAAATCATAATAATCATAATAATCCCTTAATAATACTAATCATCATCATCATCATCATCCCATAATAATAATCATAATCCCCTAATAATAATGAACTTTCATTTCTACCCAAGAGAACTTTTACGGTCTTTTCTCCTATGCCCAAAAAACGGTATTTGTGCCCGAAAGCTTGAATTTAAAGGCATTTTTTTGCAAAAATCTAGTGGGTCTAATAACAGCTATGTCCTCTAGCATGAGTTCTGATTCCTTAATAATCTCTTACATTTGTTTGCCTTTTGAAAGGTGCTATTTAAACATTTCCCAGGGAAAAAAAGCAGCAGAACGATCTCCTCGGCAACAGGAGCCCAAACCTCAATCCCTGCTCACTTCGGGCCAGTGCAAGGAAATGAAGCCACCCGATTCACAGACAGCCTCCCACTGATTTTGCAAAGGGCTGGGGCTCCTGACTTCTCCGTTCAGGATGAACCGAGGAACGACAGCCTCCAACATCCACTGGCTGATTTTTACGACGAACCCAGCCAGCCGCATGCAGCTCCCCCTCCGTGCGCTCCCCCTCCCCGGGGCCGTCACCGTGGCTGGCGGGGCAGGCTGTAATTACAGTGTTTACCACAGCTGCCCTGGCACGGGGACAATCGCCTGGCCTCATAAATAGCTCAGCGCGGAGAGCCGCGTTGCCCCAGAGACCCTGCCAAGGATGAAGGCCCCGGCGGCTGCCCCCTTTGTTAGCCTGTCACTCCTGCCGCCGGCGGCGAGCAAAAGGGAAAGGCCTGTGTGTCTCGTGCGGCTGTGTGAGGCTTTCTGGTAGCAACAGCAAGGTGTTTTAATTCAGACACAGGGCAGGTCTTCATCACTGCCCCAGGCCCATGTCCTGCCAGCTCTGTGGCCTCCCTCAGCATCCCTCTCCCCCACGTGCTACCCCATGGTGTCCTCCCTACAACCTCGCTGCGATGGCCTGTCTGCAATCACCGTTATCAATTAATGCAACACTGATGAGAGATATGGGTGCTGCTTGCTCCCCTGTTGCCGTGCCCCTGGCTCATCCCTTCCCACCGAGTTATTTTTCCTGACTTCGTTCTGATGTCAAGTCGAGCAGGCAAGACCGAGGCCAGCTGTGTCAGCCTCCTTGTCTGGAAGTGTGCATCTACCCAACACCTGCATGTACACTCATGAAGCACAACGCATCCACATGCCCCTGCTCTGTGTGCAGCAGATCCTGGGGACAAGGCAATGCAGCTCCCTTCGTGTGGTGCTGAGCCCATCCCCAGCACCACAGGGTCTCTGTGTGAAGCACGTGCCCTAAAGTCCCAATCACTGGTGTGCAACTACCACCTGCATCATCCCCTATGCTGAACGGCAGCAGCTCCATTAGAAATACCATCAGCAGAGCCACAGGCTGTACCTGTCTGCATGTTTCTAAGTGCCTAAAAGAAGGGACCCTGCCCTTTGTCACTCTACTATCTGCCCAGGCTGCTGGAAGTTATGTCCCACATCCCAGCCTGTCCAGGGAGGTTCGACTGAAGGACCCTTTCCAACTGTAGGATGGCATGAGCACTGGGTGTCAGTGAAAATTGTTCACATCCCGACTTCCAGCCACCAGCCGGAGATTGGAGAGCTCCCAGGGCCTGGCCTGCCCCCACCCAGGTCCATCTCGAGGCTAGTGGGGGCTGCCCATGTCATAGCTGCTCTGTACATAAAGCAAAGCCAAGGGAGTCCTGGGCTGTTGGTTCACCTCCAGGTAGTATTTAGCAGCCTACAGACCCCAGGGTACATTGTCGACACCTCTCTAATATCAGGATGAGCCAGGTCTTCCTGAAAGCATCCAGCAAAGCTCACTGCACAGCCTCTTTGGAGGCTCACTCTGTTGCAACAGCAAGCAGCCAGCACCTGAGAGCAACCAGATGCATACGATCCCCAACCAGTCCCAAACTGGCAGCCCAGCTTGGAGGAACAGGGCTGGAAAGGGGCTGTCTGCCAGCTGCCCCAGGGCACAGCAGCCTCACCGAGCTGCCTGGCACAGGAGAGGATGTTTTGCTGTCATGTGTCAGGGTCTGGGTTTCTGGATCAGTGTTTTTAAAGGGCTGTGGGGTCCCAGTCTGGATGCATCAGCACCTCTGGTGTGGTTTCATGAGATTTATGGGGTTTAGCTCTCCCCAGCTCCTGGCTACCTCAGCCGCCCACCAGAAGGGCAAACACACTAAGCACCCACGCCTTTCCATGTGCATGAGCAAGAGGCTCTGAGAGGCACCTCGGAGGCTAGCAGCCCTCCTTTCACCTACGCACGCATCACCGCCAGGTCTTGCAGGACCCCATCTTGCACGTACCGATAGGTGACGGCCTGGAGAGCCCGGCAGTAGCAGCTGGCCAGCCAGAGGGAGCGATCTGTCAGGATGTTGGGGCAGTGAGAGATGCGGAGGATTAGCAGGTTGCTGCCCGTGGCCTTCAGCAAGGACTCCAGCCCAGCTTCAAGGCAGCCCCTGAGGGGAAACAAAATGCATCAGCAGCTCTCCTTGCACTGCCTGCTCTCTGGGCAGCATGAACCAGGAGCCCCAGGAGGAAGCAGAGCCCAGGAAGCCTTGCACTGGCAGCCTGTCTGCCGTGGGGAAGGGTCTTGTGGGCACCAGCGTTGCCAACCTAGAACCCTTTGGGGTCCCGGTGGGTACGTTCAGGCTCCGGTGCTAGCCCATTGGGGTCAATGCTTTAGTGTGAACCCCAATAGTGCTACAACCTGGACAGGGGGAAGTGATCCAAGGACCCATCCCACCCTTGACCATAGCCTGGGGGTTGTTTGGAAGGGGCCTGGCTTGCTCCGAGTGGGTCCCTGACCCCCTGCAGATGAAATTTGGGTGAAGGTGGAGGATGAGCTTTCTTCTTCTCTCTGCCTTAACTCGAAGCCATTTCTCTTCAGGTCCCCCCAGGCCATGGTGCCTGCTCCCCTTCTCCCTTCAGGCTCCCAGGACAAGACCTTAGCACCTTCATCCCAGCAGCAGACAGATAATTTCACCCCCAAACTGCTGAAACTCCTGTCCATGCCCTCCCTGGGCTGAACGCAGCTCTCAGCCTAGGCTTCTCCCCGGCCCTGCCAAATCCCGCCACTGTGCCACTGCCCTGCCCTTGCACTCGGGTCCTTTGCAAGGGGCTCTGTGCCCAGCCGGCTCTGCCCTGTTAGCATGGCAAACCCCCTAAGTGCCAACAGCTGCACAACCTGCACTGCTCAGTGCTGGAGGACTGAGAGGAGCGGGGGTCCTTGAGTATTTTCTGAGGCCAGACTGCATTTCTGAATGCATCCAAAGCCAGGTGGTCTAACTGGCAGGGGGACAAGGCAGCTCCAAGCCTTCTGTAATTGGAAAGCGATTCCCAGGGAAATGGGACCTGAACCGATCCCAGTAATGGGGGCAGGGCTCTGGCATAGAGACCAGCTGTTGCAGTGGGAGTTTGCAGTGGCAGGAGCCAAAGGGTTAAGAGCTGGGTCTCTACCCAATTAGCACGCTCTCGGTGGAGCATTAAATGGGAAAATCAAGTGCTGGCGCTTGTCTCTGCCTGACAACAGACACCCACGGGCAGGCGCCGGGAAGCCAGCAGCACCCACGGGCGCTGGCCCCCGGAGTGCGGGGATGGGATCTTTATGGGATGGGTGGCTCTGCCGCATTACAGGGAGGGTGGCAGCAGTGGAGGTGGGAGGGAGGGAGGGGACAGGGCTCACCGTGTGCTTTTCATGTACTCCTCCTTGCTCTCCTTCTTGCCCCGCTGCCGTGGCTTGAGGTTTTGGAGGGTGAGGGAGTGGGTCTGGGTGCACCACTGAGACAGCATGCCCAGGAACTAGAGGGGAGGGGAGACCATCATCAGGGGGAGAGGCGGGCAGGTGGGATACTACCATGGGACACGGCGCCTGCCGTCACCCCAGCTTGGAGAGGGGCAGGACACACAACCATCCGCCCACCCACACACACACAGATGCAAAGGCATGGATAGATACACACACATGCATGTACACATGCACAGAAATACACACAGGCACGGGTGCAGAGATGCCAGTGTAGATGCATACGCACAGCAACAAATACATAGTGATAAACATCTGTGTGCATGCACAGATACACACGCCCAGACATGTGCATACATAGAGAAACACATGCGTATGTGCACAGATAAGGATGCTCAAGGTGTACACAAACAGATGCTCACAAACAGTGTGCATATGTACAGAAGCATATGCACAGTGATACACACAGGCACCCATACAAGTAAACACACGTGTACACAGATATGCACACACAGAGATCTAAAGGTTCGGGCACGCTGCTGCCATCAAAGATCTTGGAGTGAGCAGGCCTGGAGGACCACACACACACACACACAAACATGCATGTACACACTTATAAACACAGCTATGCATGTGGGCATACCCACATGTAAACACATACACACTTACACATGCATAAACACTACTATGCATGTGGGCACACACACACACACACACTATAAACACAACTATGTATGCGGGCACACACACACAAACACACACACTCAAACACAACTATGCATGTGGGCATACCCACACACAGACACCCACACATACTTACACATGCATAAACACAACTATGCATGTGGGCACACGCACACAAACACACACACTCAAACACAACTATGCATGTGGGCACACACAACACACACACAAACAAACACCCACACACTATAAACACAACTATGCATGTGGGCACACACACATAAACACAACTATGCATGTGGGCACACGCACACACTATAAACACAACTATGCATGTGGACACACACACATAAACACAACTATGCATGTGGGCACGCACGCAAACACTTACACATTCAAACAAAGCTATGCATGTGGGCATACCCACACACACCCACACTCACTTACACACTCATCTTGCAGGAATCCTTTGACCCCAGCTGACTTCCTGCCCATGGGGCAGGGGGCTGGACTTGATGATCTTCAAGGTCCCTTCCAGCCCTAATGTCTATGAAATGTATTAAACACAGCCATGCATGTGGGCACACATACACACTCATAAACACAACTGTGTGTGGGCACACCCACACACATAAACACACACACACTTACACACTCATACATACAACCATGCATGTGGGCGCACACACACATACACTTACACACTTATAAACATAACTATGCATGTGGGCACACATTAAAACACACTCATCAACATAGCTATTTAGGCATGTGAGTATGCGCGTGCGCGCACACACACACACACACAGAGCAAACTGGGTATTTTTTTCTGGGGGGAGCAACAAAACTGCGGTGACCAACCCCCCCTGGTTCCCATGTCCCAGATCATCCCAGCCGTGGCTTTGACCCCAGGCTGCGGTGGGTCCATCTTGAACCCTGTAACCCCAGGTATGCTGCTGGGGTCTCCCCTGGCTTTGCTGGGGCAGTCCCCGTTTCTGGGCCAGCACTGCTCCCCCCGTACCTTCGAGGACACCCTGGCATTCTCCAGCAGCACGCGGGTCCACACAGCCGGGTGCCGCGCCACGAATTTCCAGTCCTTGCAGACCTCGGCAGCCCGCAGTAGGGTCTTGGTGTCGAGGTACGTGAAGATGCAGAAGAGTGCCGCCCGCATCTTGAGGATCTCAGGGCTGATCACCTCATTGGAGCGGCACGGGCTGCCCTTCTCGGGCCTGACGGCCTTCCCGGCACCCCCCTCGGACCTGGCTGTGAGGCAGAAACAGTGAGCTGGAGCGAGGGGATTCAGGGAATGCGGCAGGAAGGTTGCTGAGGTGGGGGTTTGTCGTCACCCTTCTCTGGTGGGGGTGTCGGGGCGGGGGGGGTACCATTATCTTCCTGTCAAAGTGGGGGAAACTGAGTCTCGCCTCAGCAAAGTGACTCACCCAAGGTCACAAAAAAACA